GGTTAATTTGAAATGGGTCGCTTTTTCATCGTCAATTCGCCCTTTAATTGCCCCTGAGCGGCTCCACGAAGAATTAAAAATGGAAACCAGGACAACCGAATAAACGAAGCACAGTTGGAGCATATGCTGGCTGGAAGACTGCTTTGGTAGAGGTTACTCCATGGATCGACCCCATCAGTATACGCCTTGCCCTCTGTCTTCTATTCGGAATCGCAGTGACGTTTGAAGATTATTAGGTCCATTGAATCTTTCAAAGAAATTGGCCTTACTACTCTAATCAGATGTGTTGTGAGCTACACAATCCTAGATAATTTGTACTGGATGTGATCCTACTCGAAATACGTGTAATTCAGCGTATCTATCCACTTTCCCAACTGAATCATAGTAAGTTGGACCGTGCCTTCCCGCTTCGCTCGTCTAATAAGTATACAATGAGTATGATTGTGTACGCACAGTGGTATGAGGGAAAATATTATAGAAAGGACAAACTCAAAATTAAGAGTTGCAAGTAGGCTGCCACCACTGCATGATTCTGCTATCGAAAACAGCCCAGACATGCCTTTAAGTCCTCTGGGGTCGGTATACTGACACTGAAGCCGCCTCAGCTCCAGTGCTTAATTCATAAGCAGACCAGTGAGCCACGTGAACGTCTGGAAAATGGGTTGAATTGGATACCTTGGATGGTCCACGAGTCAAAAAATGGTGGGACTGCAACTTTATGGAATTGGCTGTACGGGGACTGAAAACTCTTTGAGGTCTCTGACAATGAGACCAGTGCGCCTTACCATCGCTCCATGGCTTGTTCTGTCGCCGACTATGACGTCGGTCTGACAATGAGAAGGGCGCGCTGGTCCAAGTGACTCTGCCCACTCTAGACAGAACTTTCTTTTAAGACATATCTTAAGTGTTGACGAAGGATCAAATACATAGCTGTCGTTCATATGATGGTACATCTAGGGAAAGGACCAGACACAAGGTGGATCGATTCATTTGAGAACTTATTTTATTAGCAACTTTATATAAGCTTTATTTCGACATGTATATTGTGCAGTGTCAATCAAATGAGAGGATTTTCTACGGCGTTCCTCGTACAAGTGGAGACCAAGAGATTTTGAGTGAACAAGCATGAAAAGACAATTAGACAAAATGCGCGATGCGACACAATCTCAACAATAAAAATCTAATAATACATTCTTCATATTCTGTCTATATATTGTGGAATAGAATCATACCGTGACTAGATGACCGGAAAGTCTTTTGTGAACAGAGCAGTTCTCAACGAAATACATAGAGATATAATGCGAATTACACAGGTTTCTTAAGCAGTCGTGGACTGGTGACCGCCAGTTTTTGCGATTTCCTCAGCGACTTTCGGCCCAACGACCTGAAATCCAACGGCGAATTCGGCACACTGCCAAATCCCGACGAGTCAGCTGAGCCGCTTGCTGACTGAAAGTATATTTCTCTGAAGGCGTTCCTAACATGGTGTGTGGGATTTGATTAGGTCGCGCGAGAAGGTATCGCATTGTTATATGGCTTCACTCAGACTGCGTTTATACTCCGCGTCAAGCGGGATCGCAAGGCCAACTGCGCGCCGCGCGACGCTACGCAAGCCCGCGGAACCGAACCCTTCTTTCCTTTTTCGACTGTCATTACTTTTCAAATGCTTTTCAACATGAACTAGTTGAATTGGTTGGCCCATGGGCCTAGTCATAAAAACTGATTAAGTACAGTTGAGTAGGACGATGCATGTGTTAGTCGTCATCATCGCGTCCCGTACTATGCCCTTTTGCGACTCACACGTCAACAGAAGGATATTCAGACAATAAGGAGGTTTTTTCTATTACAATATGCCCATATTTGATCAAAATCACCATCTTCACAGCGGTACCTTGCAGGTATCGATCGTAGCGGTCGCGTTGCGGCACGCGGCACGGAGCTTGCGCCAGAAGCGACTCGCTCATTACCGAGTATGAACGCTGCGTAACAAGGCTGCCGCGATTTTTCTCGTGTCACGTAGCGCACGATGAGTGGAAAAGTTCACGAAGGGCCGCGTGAATACTCTGGTTTCCCTTTAACTGCGGCTCAGCTTTAGTGGTATAATACATCAGCGAAAAGGCAGCAGAACTGCGACCAAGCATAGCTTAGCACTTTTTGGAAACAATTGCGAGAGAACAAACCTGAAGTACAGCTCTGATGGTATCGTGCCCATACATAGTGGCCACGTCCAATGCCGTTCGACCTGCGAGATCTTTCAACGACGGTTCAGCACCCATTCGCAGTAGCAGCACTACCAGTTCTCGATTTCCCTGCTGTGCAGCTACCGACAAGGCTGAAGCTCCCTAAAACTCACACAATGTACTCCTCATTCTTACCTTCTATCTGACCATGTTAGAAAACCTCTTTAAAACGCACCTGCTCATCGACGGCGTTCGGATTAACGCCGACAGTTTCGAGAAGATAGGCGGCCATTTCCAGATGGCAATTCCAGACGGCCGTCAGTAACGGGGTACGACCACCAGAATCCACTGCTTCGAACGATGCCGCGAGTCGACGAAGCATTCGAGCACCACACATGTCGTTTATGGCGCATACCTAGTATGGAAATCGTGAATAAGGAGAAATAATTTAACAAAATGGCGAGATAGCGGAGAGGTCTTGGCTCATTATAGGCCACATATAACTGCCACATGCCACTGCTACTAATCGAACAACTTATTTTTCAAACTATCTTTCGCAGAATTTAGGCCGATGTCAGACTTTGCGAATCGAGCGATTCTAGTGTACGCGGCCGCGTCGCCAGAGTCAACCCTGCGTTGCGCAGTTCGCAACGGCACGTTGAGAGATCCTCAACGCACGCTGTATGGGCGGAGACGCAGACGGCTCGAGCATGCGAGTGTGAATGTTCGCGCGAGAGAACGTGTCTAATCGGGCGAAACTGCGCAACGTGGCCGTTGAGAACTGCGCAACGCAGGGTTGACTCTGGTTGCGGTACCAGCTTGAGTGGTTCGCCGCGACGCGACCGCAGACGCTAGCGAATCGCTCGATTCGCAAAGTCTGACATCGGCCTTTAAGGAGCACTCGCTAACGAAGAAATATCTGAAGAAACTCACCACATGAGCACATGTCCGTCCATGCGCGTCTCTGGCTGAGATGAACGCTCCAAGGGTCAGCAGTAGTTCTGCCATAGCCGTCTGAAAATAGCTTTTCATTTGCTTGCTGACGTAATTGAAAACCGTTAACTGATTTCGGATCCTAGAATTACTCTATTTGTTCGACTCAATTCGAATTCCAAATTTACAATATTTTCCGAAGAAGTAAAAGAGGTTATAGAGCGCTCAGACGCTATCGCAACATACGTGGGCATTGGGGTGGCAGCGCATTAGAAATCACGTGAAGAATTTCCTTGTTGTTAAAATCGGGACTAAGCCTTAGGCGTGAGGTTAGAGACACTAGGGTGCATGAGCAATTTTCATTTTCCCCAAAGCAATTACCCTCTTTTAAGCATATTTTAAGGGATGCCCCCGTACATGGCGATAGCGCTAAGAGTTCATATCCCAATCTTCATCCAGCTGGCCGTACGCTATTCTCATGGAAAAAGGAACGGAAATCCCTAAGAAATTATTTGTTTTTTGTTGATTTGCCTTCTTACCTTCTCCATATTTGAGCTTTAACATACACAAATACTTTACAAACTGGTTGAGAGGACACAAAAATTGACAGAATTTTTGACCGCATCGCTGGGGAAAGACAGGATTTCGTTCAAGCCCCTATCGTCTCTGTCGCCATTTTGTGGGTCGCAAAACTCGTACACCTTCCATTTTCAGGTAGCTTTACTCGACCACTGAAGGGATTGTTCAACCTGGGCCAATTATGGATACGCTAGTGACGAGATCCTGACCGTCATAAAAAAGTGAATTTTGGTCGCAAATTCCGGAAACAATACCTGCTTGTTAATTAGTAGTGTATGTACAAGTGGAGTTCCATCCATATCCTGCTGTTCCCAGTCAGTAATATGTTCAGCCAGCAGCTGAAATTACAGAGAGCATAGAAATTACGCTGAAAGGAAAGCTTTAAAGAAATACCAACACAGGAGAATATTTACTAGATAAGCTCAATACCACGAAGAAGAAAGACGTTTTTTGAGTAAAGAAACCCGGCACTATCACAAGATACAGGGGCATTTCGAGACCTTGCTCACGCACGTTAGAGCTCTCCTACCACGTCTCAGGCTTGGTCTCAGGACATCTGTCAACCGTGAGCCTTGGCGGTTCAGCGTTTTGTAGTGATGTCTGGGAGCTCTCACAAGTGCACACTATCACAGCATCTCCTCTTTCTTTATCTTCTTCAAAAGGCTTAGTCCCAATAAGACACAAAGTGTGTGCTTTTCCAGCTACGCTCTCACCCTTTGGTTGACAGAAGCCTTGTAACCCTCAGGCAACAGTAATGCCAATTGTGAGCGTACACTTATGTATACGATAAAGAATTCAAAGTCAGATACTGCAGAAGACTAGCAGAAAGCCGACTTACTCGAACAATCTTTGTGTTGCCGGACAGCGCGGCTACCCGTAATGCGCTCTGACCGTTCAACGATAGCTGTTCCACATCCGCTCCCAGGTTTATCAGCTCTTGGACTACCTGAAACTTCAACGGATACTATAGCCAAAGAAAGGGTAAACTCCTAAGAAGACTCAGATCAGATTGACAAAGTGACCTCTTCATTGTCGCCTTGACAAGCGTTGATTAGCGGATGATTCCCGGCTCGATCTGTGGCACGCACCGTAACCGAAGTGGCTAAAGCCTTGCAGAGGGTGACGTCGCCGTGAGCTACCGCGTAATGTAGCGCGACGGCGCCATCGTTGTCCTGGAAGAGAGCATGTTAAAAAGTTGAGGCTTAGCTAAAGGCAACCAGGCAGAAGTCATGTGAATGATTCCCCTGTCTCTAGGAGAGACAACCATAAAAGAATCACAGATGTGGAACTCCCTTGCATAAAAAGCGCCTGAGAAGGGCGCTAATGGTAAGGTGCTGCAAAGTTAGTTTTGATAGCTTGAATTTATTTCTCCCTGTCCTCTTTATTTGGAGACCTTCTTGTTGTCCTAAATAAAGACCCCGAGCAAAAGTAGGCAGTCCGGAAAAGGTCAATATGAAGTACTAATTCAAAATCCTTCACAAAAATCGACAGGAGGCAAATGCATGGCGGAAACTATTGATAGTACAATCGCTCAGAGGATGACGTATGCTTACCTTATGAGCTTCGTCAGCTCCGAGTGCCAGAAGAATATCCACAACAGGAAGATGCCCATGGATGGCCGCCAACTGGAATGCCGTCCGACCATCCGAATCAATACAATCGATATAGGCTCCTGAACGAACGAATTTATCTTAAGGATATTCTTCAGAGGGTGAAAAGGTAAAGGTGAGGTTGGAGAGGGGGATGAGGATCGAAATCAACTCCACAACAAAAATCGGAACCCAAGAAGAACACAATAAAGACAATCAGAATTCAAGTACGGGTTAGGTACAGGAGTTTCCTAAAAATAAGCTCATTACTATTACAAATTTTTGGTGGTGATGTCCGTTCCTCCAAGTGGTGCCACTGGGAACTGCTCACTTTTGTGAGCTGAGCTGAACACGGACATTCGAATGCAGGCGACAGGCCCCCGTGACAGGCCGGCCTACGAACACCCACGTCACATCACAAATGTCATGTCGCTAAATGAATAAAAGTGGCGTCAGCATATCAGAATAGCGGACCCCGCCAACAAGCGGGACAAACGCTGAAGAATAAGAAGAAGAAGAAGACTATTACAAATTTTTTGACATTTTCTTTCACCTTGATCTGCACCTACAAAGAACTCACCATTTTTGGTGAGTAGGTCCACAGCATCCAACTGTCCTTGACTTGCTGCAAGCATTAGCGGAGTTCGACCGAGCGAATCCTGAACAAAAGATTATTGTTCTGTCTTATATGTTACGGTGGGGCAAAGTCGTTCACCTGCACATCAATACACGTAGCACCTAACAACGACTTCAGATTCCGATCACCATGATAGGCGGCCAGGTGGATGCAAACTCTTCCGTGGGCATCCGCCAATGTCAGGTCACTTCCTCCTTAAACCATGCCCATATCAATAATTAATAATCATTCTTCATAAACAATGAAATAGCACCATGTTTGTGCCTTCCAAAGCTTTGAAATGCTTATATTAAGTAGATCGCTAGAGGCGGTCACTTGACTAGGAGAGCAAATTTTAACTTCTACGGCATGGCAATGCCCTTCAAAGAACTCTCCACGTCGAGGGCTACTGATTCGTAATCTGAATGACGTACTCCGTATTAATGTCTGGACCGTTTTATCGTGTGCCTCTGTCTTTGAACCGTTTGAAAGAGCCAGATGTAGTGCTGTGGCTCCAGCCGAGTCGGTTTCCTGCAAAACGAACGCGTAGGTAAGAAAAAAACTGGTGAGTTATTAAGTGGGATGGTTACGAATTAGAGGATGGTCCTTTTTGCCTTTCAGATCAGAGAATGAACACAAGGAATATAGGGTTTCAATAAGGCTTTAGCGAATCGGGCAGGGTAATTTGATCCTGGATGTGATCGTGAAGGTGTACCTATCTTGCTACTTGAAATTCAGGAACTAGAGATGCCTGAAAGCAAGCGGGCTATAAGGTTGGTCTCGTTCAACAACAAATCACCTCTAAAAATTACAGCTTAAGTCAAATACGCGGCGCATCCCGCTGTGAAAAAACACCAAAAGACTGCGATTCCTCGTAAGAGTCTAGCAATGCAGCCATAAAAACTGAGAACTTGAAGGTTCTAAACATTTAGCGAGAAATTTTCGGGAATTTCCGCATCAGGTATTCCAAACAAACTTGAGAAACGTTGTTTGAAAGAGCTGATAACTTCAGAGCTCATATCGACACCATAATCAAAAACCTACAGAGATTTCAGCTCCGTGATCAAGCAGCAGTTCGACAATCTCCCAGTGATCCATAAAAGCCGCAGCCATCAAAGCGGTGCGATCTTCAGAATCCTTTTTGTCACGCTAGCGTGCGCTTTCAAAAGACGGCTGACGATGTCACGGTGACCAGCCCTGAAAGCAACCCTCGTGGTCATAGAGCTATCAAATGCCGAACAAGGTAGGGAATGGCTCAAATAACTTTCCACTGAGGACTTAATGCCCAGAATTGGGCAAAAAGTCTGGAACAAAGCATAGAAACTCTTACCAAGCTGCCCCACGAAGTGCAGTCCGCTCACCACTACCCTCTTCGTCGACATTGACGCCGCTCTCTGAAAAGAACAGGATGAATGAAAAACCTTCATTTCAGTACTCCACTTTTTTGTCTAAGATTTTTATTATTTCCATATTTCCATTTCCCAACTGGACCTTGACCTAAAAGGTGATTTCTTTGGGCTCTATGGCATCTTAATCCACAATGGTACCCTTTTGCGCGTGTTGAGAACTTTTAAGAATGTTTAGCTCCTTTAGACAGCTCTTGGTTAGCCCAAATATCACCATTCACTAAGCACAAGGCTTCATCTTTAAGCTTCGAACACAACACTAAGGGAAAAAATGAATTGAATTTTCTCGCGCATTGGTGTTTATTTAGATTCTAATCTTATACGTATGGTGCGCATAGATTCTCTAGTTCAAGGTGGAGCAATGGAAAACGGCCTTGCTACGGTATGCATGGCACCTGGATAAGGTCCAGATCTTACCATAAGGCAAAGCACACCATTCAATCCTCTTTACTTTTTGAAGGTTCACTCAATACCAGATTCGACTGGAGATAAAGCAACCGAAATGCGTATGTACTGAGCCCTATGAGCTATGTTATGTGTCCACCAATGCCTGCACGTCCAGATAATTCACAGCACTCCGAATATTTGTCTTTGACAACGACCAGTGAAAACCAGGCGAAAAACAATTCATCGCTTCACCATCCTATTCTGGTCTCAACCGACTTGTAGAGCCCGAGTTTTCAATTGGTTTGGGAGAGTTACACTTGAGAAAGGACCCCATGCCATGCTAGTGCTAGTAGCACCGAATTCGATGTCCCCAACCAACAATTGAAGTTTTGGCGCAGCTCAGATTATGCGCCGCGTGTATCAAAAAGCAATAAATATTTAGATGGTAATTAATCTCCGCTAAGAGCACGTGTCCAGTGTGAGGGTGTGGATTAGCTGCTGCGAGAGCACGGCCGATCCAGATGGCTGTCGTGTCCATTAGGCAACAATTATGTGGGCAATATGTCGGCAGTAAATTGAATACTAAACAGCACTAATGAGACAATCAAGTGGTTTGTCATGGTCTGAGGCATAAGTACCTGTTGAGGATCAGGCCTATTGGGCTTATTTATGATGATTTTGCAGCCATTCCGTTCACAGTATTGCCACATTAAAGATGATTAGGTTCGAATATAATGGCTCCTTTCTACAGAAATAATAGAAAAAAAGGACTTCGCATTGATAAACTTTTTCTGGGGTGCGCCACGCGCCCCATTTCCACTTGAAATCGCGGAATCATAAATGCCATTTGGCTTACATAGTGACTTTTTTAGCCGGCCGAACATGTTAGTGATATTTTCATCTTCCCAGGTGATTCTGCTTTCAGTCCAACAATCTCAAGAGATGGAGGGTTTGGAAGTTTGCTTAAAATGATGCATGCTTATGGGTCAAACCCCGCAATTCAGTTCCACGAGCACCGTGCAAACCCACCCCAGAACTGAGACCTCGAATTCCCATCATAGCTTTACCACTTTTAGTATTCAATACATACCTCAAACTGTGCCATTAACATAAGCTGCGGTTGGAAAAAAATTAAATAAAGTAAATAGATAGCGAAAACAAAACTGCCGGGTGTAATAAAAACATAATAAAGGAGCGTAACAAAATGATAGTCACCAACCATCACAGATTCAGTTCATTCTACATGATTATTAACAAGCAGCACTTCGCAAGGCATTCCATTGCCCATTGCAAACATGGTTCGAGATCTAAACCCAACATAATCGTAAATAAATAAATAAATAAATAAATAAATAAATAAATAAATAAATAAATAAATAAATAAATAAATAAATAAATAAATAAATAAATAAATAAATAAATAAATAAATAAATAAATAAATAAATAAATAATGTGCCTTGTATAGAGCTTATCTATCTCGTAATTTCCGAATCGAATAAATGAATAATAAGCAATTCATTTAACTATTTTCACCATTTCACTATTTGAAACTTATTATTATATATTAGGTTGTCTCATAAATAGTGTCGCTTTTTTTCAACCAAAAAATTTTCATCTAAATCCCCATGCTTTTACATTCATATACCATTCGAAAGAGAATTGTCTGCTCTACAAGATTATGTTCCTCTTCCACCTATGTTCCATGGTTTTCAAATTTTAGGCCTGCGAAATGGGAGGTCCGCCGACAAAAATTGACCAAACCGACAACTAGCTCTAACTTTATTTTCCCTCGGGAGAAATCAATCAATGATGTACCCTCTACTTACTCATGACCTCTTCTAAACATTACACTATTAGGTTTCCCAACAAGTCGCGTCGTTCCATTTCCAGACCAGGGTTTTCAACCAGAACTCGACGGTCGAGCACCATTACCTGAGATTTGGGTCGAAATTTTTTTATGGCCGAGACATTGAAAAACTAGTAGAATTTAAAGAACAAGTCATGACAATGTTTGGAAATGTGTACGCCTGGTTGATTTTCTCATCTCTCAAGAATAATTTTTTTCAAAGAAATGCGGTCACTTTCGTGGATAAAGCACCTTACTCCTAAACACCTAAAATTCGAGCTAATTCCTAACAAACATTAAAACAAAACAAATGAGCGAATAGAGCAGAAGAAGTGCTCACAAAAGATACACCAGTTGATATAAAACAATAGCGTTTCAGAGGAAGAATTTCAATTTGAAAATTGCCATGGCTTATCGGTCGGCCAATTCGAAAAGAAACAGGGCAAACCTTTTTCGGCAACCTAAGGGTGGAATGTTCAGCCAATGGTTAATTGGAGCCTACAGTAGAGGGTACATCATTGATTGATTTCTCCCGCAGGGAAAAATAAAGTTAGAGCTAGTTGTCGGTTTGGTCAATTTTTGTCGGCGGGACCTCCCATTTCGCAGACCTAAAATTTGAAAACCCCGGAACAGAACAGATGGAAGACGAACATAACATCTTGTAGAGCAGACGATTCTCTTTCGAATGGTACATGACGACATGGTGTAAAGGCATGGGGAGTTAGACGAAAATTTTTTGGTTGAAAAAAAGCGACACTATTTATGGGACAACCTAATAGTAAAAATATGCCTCCGTCTGAGAAAACGAAAGTCTTAAGTATTATCAGCAGTAAAGTCTGAGGCTCGTCATTTGAAGTATCGCTTTGCAATTTGTGAGTCGAGGTTTACTGACGCCGGCGGAGATGATGCGGCTAGCAGCCGAGGGAGAGTTCCCTAGTGAAGTTGTGCTCAATCTTAAGTGAATATTCTTATGAAATACCCCCGAGCTATTTGAAAGATAGAAAAAATCACTTACCATATCTGACTGAGATGTCATGTGTTTCATCACTTTTTCCAAATCACCCGTACAACACAAATAGATGAAATCATCCTGCAATTATCACTTAATTAATCAGTAATAACATAAATTACTAACTCTATCAAAGCGTCTAGAGTTATTTAACAAAAAACAGTTAGAAACCTTCTTGTTCCCCGAAAAACAACTTTTAGCAACAAACACATTACGGCATTAACAGTCTGAGAAGCTAATAACTACTATTCATAATTGAGGAATGGACTCCATCCCCCCCCCCAGGTTTTCAGTAAAGCACTAATCCAAGATTTTCAGACCAGCTCACCTGAAATCCAAAAAATCAATTTAATGGCATTAGGCTGAATTACATACATCGGGGACTTCCAGAAGAAGCGTTGATTTGACACTAGTGCTAGTTTGAAATGATCTCCAAAATTCTCCCACCCGCCCCCCCTCGGGCCCATCCTCTGCTACCCCTTTTAGAGGCTTCATCGTTGGTACGACCCCACTATTTTCGGCTCATTTGCTCCTTTTTCGCATAGTTTTATGCCTCATCGATGTATGGGCCGTCATCGACTTTGGAGGTGGAAGGCAGTCAGTTTAAAACAGAGTCATCCGTTTGTATCATTGTTTGTTCTAGTTCCGAAAATTTTACGATTACGAGCAACTCCTTCAAGGGAAGGCGGGGGGCGGGGGACGGCTCAACAACCGCACTGTTTCGATAGCATCATACCTAATATTAGAGGGAGCCCCTCCATTAACGACCTCCCGGTCCCCCCTCACCTTCCATTATATCACCGTCACATCTCTCACGGCCATACCTGTTCCTGTCAGCAGCTAAGTGCTATATTTTTACTTGTCGAGAGCAGTAACAGACACCTCCTCCTTCTTCTTCGTAATTACAAGATTCATCTGACCTGGAGCGTGGACACAAATTCAATTATTGAAATGGTCCGTATAATTTGTAAACACCTTTCATACTTCCGTTCGAAATTTCTCTAGTTATAGATACATACGCGTGAATACGACCTTATCCTTTCTATTCATTCGCGGCCACCAGTTCCCGACGCATGTCCCTTCACAAAATAATATCGACCACCTTCCTCTTGCGTTTAACCTTCACCAACCCTTGTACGACCCCCTCCGAAAAAACTCAAAAACGACCGCCCCCTCCCCCCCCGCTGAGAACTGCGCAACGCACGGACTACCCTGCTTGGGACCCAAATCCACGGCACTTATTCGTATCGAATGTCGTCTCACAATTTACTCCGAACTGGAAGTACTTGGAACTTAGTTAGACCTAAGTAAGAGCAGGTGCGCCAAATTAGGACAACTGGAGGACCGAAGGGGGATGGGAAATCGTCGTATAGAGACCTTCTCCAGAAGCATATCGTATTTGCTAGCCATTATTGCCTCAGCAATTGTAGAGCGGCTCAGAATGTTGCAAGAGAAGCTCTCAAGCTCTGAAAAGCAGGTCAGTCCAGCGTAAATTGTTTGGTTTGCGAGCACCTACGAGTCAGCCGCAAACAGCCATTTTTCAGCCATGGAGCATTAATGGTTGGCAGTTGCTCAAACGCCACGACAGCTAGTATTCCTGTGGCTACCGCGCCTATGTCCCTAGGTTTTGCGTGCGTGTTCCGAAGAAACCCGACTTCAGTTTGTCATACCTTCAGTCCATGCCGCTGCGTGCCAACAGCGATTGAATTTGCACTTCAGCTAAAGGCTCGGCGACGTTTGGAAGGAATTATGTGCGCCTAATGACGTCTCGCATTTCTAATTTGCAGATTAAGGAAGGGTTCCATGGGAAAATGCAGCGCTCAAGGATAGTGCAACTAATGGATTCGACGACAAAATGCAGAACACTCACATTCAAAGACAAGTCCTGTAGCAAAGCGCCGGCTTTCGACAGCAGTAACACGCCACCTTTGGAAATCGTCGATCGACGACCACGAATCACTTCAGAATACAGATGCTACACCAGCACCGACACGAAACGACCAGCATTTCGTATCGAGTGCCATCGAGAACTGCTGAACATAAAAAGATCCAAATTAGCTTCAATATGAGTGAAAAAAGGCGAGCAAGTATTGGCCCGATCTCTGTTCAAAACTCTTGTGGATCAGCCATGGCATGTCTGACTTTCGGCTCTCGGCGACCATCGTAGTTCGATGCCTTTTAGAGGGGATTACAAACTACAACATTGCGCCAAACGCATCACAATTTTACTATACATACTAAACGGTCAATCTAATCCTTTTGTGAATCTCTTTTGGGATTCGATAGCTCACTGAAACCGTGTGGACGAGATATGAGAACGCAGGGGCTGAGTGCGCAACGCTTAAAACCTCGCCTCTGAGATCTGTTCGAATTGCAAAGGTGACACTCCTTAAGCAGGCAAAATAGGGCAACACTTTGTAGTCGAGAATTTTCGCTTCTCTCAATTGGAAGAAAATATTTGGCTCAATCAGTTTTCGGGAAATATCTTTTCCCATCGCCTTTTTGTGATACTATGCAAATTACCTAGAGCCTCGAGACTTCTGTGAACGAGGATGAGTTTGCTAGTTAGTAAGGCAGAAACAGCTAGTTCCCTAACTTTGCTTCGTCAAAGAATCTGATTTGCACTTGGAACTCTACCCCCTCATAGGTAGAATAGTAGATATGACTTGACGGTAGTGATCTCGATAGCTGGAGGGCGGAGCGGTTTCTATGAACGTCATCGAACGTCATTGGCGGAAAGGCGTTAAGAGGCAAACGCAACCCCGCCCCCATCGAGTTTAGGGGTTTAGTTAACCAATGACGCCAAATTAAATACGTCTTCAAAACTGCTTCACCCTCCAACAATCGGATCACTGTCTCAAAGTTTTCGACTTCTGGTCAGAATATGTGCCAAGGGCCATTGTAACTCTGCATGACAACTTTACTGCAGAGCGACTGGTCCCTCGTTCTTTCGGCAATCTGCCAACGTTCATGGACGTTTGCCGACGTAATAGATGCGTTCGGCTGATAGTGTCGGCGTTCGACTGACACATTCCGCCAGATTGACCTCTTAATTATCGCCCTATTGACTCATCTAATTGAGAGGGCATCTCAATCGTGACACTTGCGTGACATGCTGCTGAAGTTGAGGCAAAATTCAGCCCAATCCACTTCATGAATCAGGACAAAATAGCGAACGGAAGAATAAGGAAATAAAAGGCAAAGGAAAAAGTGCAGGGAAGGGACTCCTTTCTGCTATGAAACAATTTTGGTCTTGTCCAAATTTTTTCCTGACTTTCTTTGGAAAAACTTTGAAGTATTGAAAAAAGCCGTGATTTTAAAATTTAATCGTAATAGTCGAAGAATGATGGTAGGGCAGTGCAAAGTGAAGCTACTGCTACACGCATGGTCCAGGGAACAGTCCTGCATCATATCTCGCTCAGGTCCTGGAAACTTTCTATCGTTGTGGGTCATGTCAGCACCAGGGAGGATAAGCGTGGACTAGTATGGTGATTGATCCCCACAAGGCACAGCAGAATTTAAAAATAGAAATTCGAAAATAGAATTCAAAAATACATTCAAAAGCCACTGCAATTTTGAATCAAAGTCGAATACATGGCGCATCCCAAAACGGGATCGATCAACACTAAACAGCTTTTATGTCCCACAGCGATAGGTCTCACTTGAATGGGCAAGGTGATAAGCCAGCTCGACGACATCTTGTGGTGTTTTACGTCGTTTCGTCTTGTAGAACTCCGCCCAAGCCGTATGATACGGTGCGAGATCGCCATCGACTTCTGCCCAAGAACCACATACGACCAATGGATCTGAAAAGCCTTCATAGAGCTCATTTTTTGCGAGAAAATACAAAGAAAATTTTGGTCAAGAACCAAGGTTATCAAACTGAGAAGGAGGGAGAAGAGACAGCAAAATTGCCATGTAAAATCGGATATATCGCAGTCAACATTTGAAACTTCTAACAGCGCTGAAAAAAGTCACCTGTACTTTGCAAAACGATGCTGATTGCACTGATTTCGCGCTCGATCATCTGCACATTCTCTCGTATGATCAGCTGCGAGACGGCGTAGAAAAAACTCAACGGCGGCGGCTGCCGTGAGGCCTAAATGGACTGAATTTTTGCACGGACATGATTTTCCCTCAAATATTCGAATTGATTTTTAAGAATTGCGAAATGTCCTCTCAGAGACGCTTCGCGGTGCAAAAATTGTGTGGGGCTAACTAAACGAATGAAGAAGCCAGCGCGATGGGTGTATGCTTTGCAACACAGACTTGAAACGTCCATAGGTTCGTTTCCCCCTGCCGACCAACCGGTTCAATTGTTCCACTACAAGATTTGCCTTTTGAAAACCTCGATATATCTGAAGGCAAACAGCGCCCCGTAGCCATTAAGTTGGCCAAACACGCCTTCAATTGACTTAATGATTGTGAACAGAAGCGAAGTGTATGGCGCACTCCTAAGAGCCTATCATTGTTCGGTATTTGATCGCTTAATCTTCTGTTATTTCATGGGATCCTTTACCTTTGGCGACGAAGGTAAGCGATGGTTGGTGGCGCTGCTACACCGCCGCTCTGTGTCTGCATCGCATCACAGAAGGCATAGTCTCC